ATTTATTATTTATATTAATTTTCTTTTCATTCATTATATATATAAAGAACAAAGCAAATAACCTTATAAATTCTTTTATTTTAAATATAGAAATATATATTTCGACATATTATATTAAATATTATATATAAAATATATATTATCATTTTCTTCAAATATTATATGTTACTATAATACACGCATCACTAGGAACATAACTAAATATAAATAATTTTATGGTATATAACAAATGATAGTACACATTAAAATTATCAAAACTTCAATATTTATATAATGTACATTTACATTTTGCCTAATGTTGAGTAAAATATCACAAGGATAAGAAAGAAATTTGATAGAAAGGAATTTTCTTAAAAGATTCTAAATATGAAAACAGTTCGTGTTAATTTTGTATATGCCATTGATAAATCAAAGTGAATTATATAGTTACATTATTATTTCACATAATAATTTAGTAATATCTAAGAGAAAAACCATAAAAAATTCAAAAGTACACAACATTAAATTTTTTATGTATAAAGAACAAATATAACTGGGGTACTTATATATTCTATATTATAGAGATGTTTACAATTGTAGAATAAGTGTTATTTCAGAATTTAGTCTTTTCCATAGGAATATTAAAATTCCTTTTTAGTCATGTTATACATAATTTCATATTAGTAGTGATTAACCTCCTATTAATAAATTCTTCGAATATTTTTATGTTTTTAATCATGGAAATATTTTCATAAATTATTATTTTATACCAAAGGACCATTCTTTATATGTGAAAATAGAATATATTGAAAAAATATTTTACACCAATTTTAAATAGATAACACGTTATATTTCATGAAAAACATTTCAAACATTTAAATGCTTTTTTTCCCAATATAATAGAATAATGTTATCATATTATATAATAGTAAACTAAATTGTCTAGCATATAACAAACGTATATTTAAAAGGAATATTTTTAAAATAGTAAGTATAAAATACTTTCTACAACCGCAAGAACGAAGATAAGTATCATGTTTTCATAGAACTATATATAAATAAATGGGTTATGTAAGATTTATACATAAATACATATATAAATATTCAAATATAAACCATTTTATTAAATAATTCTTATTCTCACATCTCATGATATAATGTATAAAATTTTAAATTTATGCACTGGATCTAATTCAAACAAGATGAGAACAATATAAAATGTAAATATAATTAAATATATATTATTTATTAAATATGTATAATTATATTATAAAGGTATATTCGAAATAAAATAAATATGAGACCTAAAACATATGTAATAAATATAGAACCTGAACAAAAAAATATTATATATAGTTTTAAATCTCACTATCTAACTTTATTCACTAAATATATATCACCTATTCAATTTTCATACCCAGATCAAAAAATATAAAAAAATATTCTATGAGATATTTATCAGGTATATGCATGTATATCCGTTATATTGTATTATTTTGTGCAATAATTTTATCGTTATACCTTCATATATACGAAAGTATTAAAAAAAATTCTTATTATTTAATATATTTATAAAATGCGTATATTGTATGTATAGGTTTATTAATATGTATATAATTTTTAAAAAAATTATCCCTAATGTATATGCTACTGTTATATATTATTCTTTAATAACGTAATAAGAATCTAAACATAATAGTATTATTTAAAATTCAACAAACTTAACAGAGAATACATCTATTATCAAAATATTATTTGTTAATGATAGTTATTTTACGTTTAATTATTTATAATTAAAAGAAATAAATGTTATTTTTGCTTTATTTGATATTAGTTACAAATTAGTTTTACTAAGAATATGGAAGAGGTATGATTTTTCTTTTTAGCTTAATTATAATTTATATTTCATAATTTTATAATGCGTTATTATATAAATGTTATGCATAATTTATTTTTAAAAAATGTTTTTGTAAATATTATAATTTTTAATTTTAGTTCAATTATAAAGACATTTTCCCCAAATGTATAACACATTATGACAATGCCACAAGTGAAAGCATAGGTAATGTCAATATTAATATTAAAAATGCGTGTGAACTGATAATACATATGTTAGAAGTTAAACATGAAAAGAAGAAATTATTTTTAGATGAATGCATAGTACTTAGTTATTTTTTAAAAGTCATAAATTCTAGAAATAATGAAAAAGAAATAGGTTGTAATTATTTCAACTACAAGCTTAAACAGCTATTGAGGCAGTGTAAATTTAAGCATGAGAACACAAAAACTGCATATGATGAAATGAATAAAGCTTATGGTCAACATTATTCAGCTATTCATAATATTTGTACTGATCTTAAAAATCTTGATGAAGATACCTTTTTAAATTTATATTTTTTGGAGTGGTTGTATTATTTTCTTCAAGTATACGAAGAAGAAAAGGGTGGTACTTCTAGATGCCCAATGAAAATGCTTGATTATAATAAATATTTAATCTTTCTCTCAGAATGTGATCAAACTCTTAATAAGAGTTTCTGTGAAATTATCAAAGAACTGCAAACACAAAAAAGTGATTATATAAATTTTATATCTAAATGTCTAGAAGATGCTAAACTCTCAGCTATAACCACTGAAACAAATACGGTTCGGGTTGCTGTAGCGACTTTTATTGTATTATTTACAATATTAATAATTTTATTTATTTTTTATAGAGTTAAATATACAAATAATTTAAAAAAAGGCAGTAAATTAAATTATGTGTTAAAAATTATTATAAATATTTACATTAAAAAAAAAGTATATAAATATAAGTACTTTTTTCCTTTCTTATTACTAACAGTTTACTTTTTTAGGATTATGTCTTCAACGAAAATTATGGAGGATTAGAAGTCACTTGAATTATGAAAATAAAGACAATTACATATTAAATGATATCTTTGAATTGGAATACAAACGCTCAATTCAGGATGAATACAAAGTAGAATACTCCTCAGTAGGCTATTAAAAAACTTTTCATAAATATTAACAAGGCTTAATGGTTTTTTTAGAAATAAAAAATAACTGAATGTATGTATATTTGTAATCAATAAAAAATTATTTTTAAATATATGGTTTATGGTTTAGAGTGTATGGTTACGTAATTAGTTTATGTTTTAAATTATTGAATTCATAAATAATGCATGATATTGATGGCTTAATATATTTTTATTTGTTTATGTTTGATATACTGTTCATTAATTCACTAAATGTATATACATATATATTAAAACTATATACCTCTAAAAAATATATATAATTCTTTATAAATGATCATATAGGAATTTACCTATATGCATCATGCTATTATATTTGATGAAAATAAAATGAAATATTTTATTTTTTTTAATAATATAAATTTTGCTATTAAAATTATCGTATGCATATGATATAAATTATTCATTTAATATATGTAATGTTTAGTGCTAAAATCGATATGGAACATAAGAAGCAAAAAATATTTTCTTATATAATAATATTTAATCAATATCATATAGATAATTTATAATAATTATTAATATATTTTATCAAAGGAGTTGTTCCTGTTAATTTTACACACATTTAATTTTATAAATTATTATATTTAAATTTTTGTTTTTGTAATATATTTTAATGATTTTTGTTTTATTTAACAAACATATATTTTTAATATACTAAATACCTTGTGTGTATATTACCGCTGCTATAATGAATGATATACCTATTATAACAATCTTTAATTAATACCTCCAAAAAAGACAAATTTAATATTATAAAGAAAAAGACACATAAAACATGTTTTGGGTCTTATTATACAAAATAAAAATAAATTAATTATTAAGCAGTTGAATATATATTAATATAATTGATTTAAATAATAATATTAAAACAAAATATATAGATACTCGTAAGATTTTTATTCATTGAAAATTATTTATATAATTGATATATATATATACATATAT